GATCTGGGAACATGGCTATTTATGGTGCTGGGGTCGTTTTGAAGAAGATCCGTGAGAGGCCGGAGCTTTTGTGTTGTAAACCTGAGATGGAGTTAATATTAGAAAGTTGACAAGGAGATCAGGGAAAATAAAAACGGCAGCATTCAGAGAAAGTTTTCTGTGGTTTCTATCATTTCTGTGCAAACAGAACAAACCAGTGTGTAAATATAAAGTTTACATCATATCCTGGAACTGTTGGTGAAGCTGCCCAACAAATAACATTATGTCAACTCAAAATGACATTACAGCCAACTAACTGTAAAAAAACACAATAAATGACTATACTTCAGTTAGTTTTACAGATAAAATGTGGTGTAGATGTAGCTGAGAGTCATTTATAACTCCAAATATTACTCATAGTACATGAACCACAGCAGCCAGGGTTCCTCAGTTTTAGTTGTCGTTAAACATTTGAACAAGACAAACTCCTGAACTCTGCTTGTAATTGTCTCCCTCTGTTAGAGAGCATGCACTGTTATCCAACCGAGTAAATCACCTGTATTAGTTATGAAAGAGCGCGGCTGGCGTAACGACGTGCCACTTTCAGACAGAAACAGCATTTTATCCAGAAGGTTTGGAATCACAGTGAGTTTAATCCGCTCACGGTGAAAAACGCTTGCTGTGATTTTACACGTGTATGGATGGGTTTCCTGAACAAAGGTGATCGAATAAAACACAAATAGCAATATCAAAACTGCTCTTTTGTTCTGTGTTAATTCTTGTTTTGATTTTCAAAGATTGGTGAAGTTTTTTCGAAGTGGGGTTTAGCTGAAAGGATGTGAGCAGTTAATATCTTACCTGTTTTAGATAGGTTGAAGAGTTTAACTCTAATCAAAGCTAACAGCTGGTTCAAACGGACAYGTTTGTATGGTTTAAATAACTTAATTCTCAACAATATTGTTATTGTACTGTACAATTATTTCACAACAGGATCCCACTTTAAAAGATTAGAATTTACATGTCAAGATCACTTGAGTGTATTTTAGTCAGTTCAGGCTACACACCAACACACTTAACACTCGGCCCAGATATCTCTAAAAATGACAACTCTTTGGTGGCCCAGATGTGGTTTGCCAGAGAGGGTCCATTCATGGGTCAGCACCATGTGAACCAAACCACAACTGGGCCAATTGCCCAGCAATGCCATCATTACCAGACCTGGTTCCCATCCAGCTGACAAACCACTTTCCATCATTAAGCTGGAGAATGTTTTAATATTGGGTGATTTTAATCTACATATTGATGATGTTTCCTGTAAGGCAGCTGCTGACTTGATCTCCATCACGGACTCATTTCATTTTACTCAGCATGTGTGTGTGCCTACTCATAAAAAAGGCCATACATTGGACCTTGTTTTCTCCTTAGGCCTTAATGTAGAGGATGTTTGTGTGGAGGATRTATTTTTWAGTGATCATAATTGTATATATTTTAATGTGTCTTTTAGTCCTGATCCAGCTCCTCCTAGACTTATGATCCAAAGGCGGATCATAAATGAGCACACTCCTGAAGCCTTTACTTCACTTTTTGATTCGGCCTCTTTAGATTATAACATCATTAATGTGGACTCATATGTTTCACRTTTTAATACTCATTGAATAAATATTTTAGACACTATAGCACCTGTAAAACTGAGCACTGTGCAGCGCACAAACTGTCCTTGGATTAATAAGGAAATCCTTAGCATGAGGAGAGTTTGCCGTAAGACTGAGCGTCAGTGGAAAAGAACCAAGCTGGAGGTTCACAGGCTCTATCTTAACTGATCAGCTCCTTAAATGAGATGCTCAAAACTGCCAGGACCAATTATTTTGCAAACCTCATCAAATCCAAAGGAAGAAATCCAAAAATTTTATTTGACACAATCAAGAACATTGTTACACCTACTTTTTCTACTGTAAGTGCTTTTACAAATGCAGATTGCAATCGTTTTTTAAATTATTTTATTGACAAAGTTGCCGGCATCAGGGCCTGTATCTGTCCCTCACCATCCCTCTGTCTGGTCCCTCCTCCTGTGACCTCTGATACATGGTCCTCATTCACCCCARTGACAATTCAGGACATCACAGAACTGTTGGGGCGAATGAAAATGTCCTCTAGCCCCCTTGATGTCCTGCCCTCTTCTCTTTTTAAACATATTTTTAACTGCATGGGCCCAAGTGTTGTAAAAACTTATAAATTACTCCCTTGGTTCTGGTTCTGTACCCCACTGCTTCAAAACAGCTGTTGTC